TTCAGCATGGAAGAAGCCAGAGTGGTCTGCTTCCTGATTCCCTATTGGCAATTTGGGTAACCCCTTCAGAGGATGATAAGAATAGGTGATAAGAATAGGAGGTAGGAATTGGCTAGGCAGTTAGGATAAAAAGACCCCAAAGAAAAGTAGCCAATTTCTTGGCTAAAAGTCAAAATGTCCTTGGGACTGTTAGCAACAGACTCTGTTCCAAAGGCCAAAAAATGTCAAAAGTATTTGGGAGCATGTATCTAATCCCTAAAAGACTTTAGGGTTACCTCTTCAGACGGGGGTATGTTAGAGTACCCAAAAGCCCCATAAAAATAAAGAATTTAAAAAAAAAGAAAAAGAAAAAAGTGATGGGGAGATATGGGAGGTGTTGGAAGGGAGGGAGTGGGCATGGATTTGATCAAAACACCTTATATGCATGTATGAAATTCTCAATAAAGTTTTTGTAAAAGTTTAAAAAAAAAGAAAAGAAAGATGCTGGCCATGTTGAGAGCTCTGGAAAGGCTGATCTGATTTGGTCCATCTTTTTGTTGTTAGCTCTGCTGGGGAACTACTTGGGGCTTTTTTCTTCTCTTGGTGGGTGAAGGCATTTGAAAAGCACATACATTTTTTTCAATGTGTATTTTTATTAAATTTTTGTGCATTTCATACAAAAACAAAAGAGTAGAGTTAAACAAGTTAAAAATTTAACCAAGATGTGAAAAATCATAGAAAAGAAAAAATGAGGCACAAAAATAATCTGAAATAACGTGGAGCATCAATAGTTAAAATCCAGACTCAGATAATTCACTAGGCTTTGCCTTAAACAGATGTAATCACTAAACAGAATTATTGGCTACACTTCTGCGAGCATTGCTTAAAACTCAGAAGACATGACAATGCTTTGTATCCTTCCAGAGCAGTGTGTTCTGTGGTTGACAAACCCCAGCGTGCCCCATCATGCTTCAGCAGACCCCAACAAGCTTTCAAAGAAGGCACAAATATGAACATAGAAGTAGTAGGAGCAAAGGGAAGTCCATGATGGGAAGGGATGGGCTGCATTTTCTACACAAAAGTATGTGAAAACACATGAAAATTAAGAGAAAGGATGATTTCATAGTAAATTATGAACATAGGCGTTGCTGGATACAGTGGCACATGCCCTTCATCCCAGCACATGGAAGGCAGAGACAGACGCATCTCAGTGATTCTGAAGCCAGCCTAGTCTACTTAGTGATTTCAAGCCAGCCAGGACTGCATAGTAAGACCATACCTCATTTAAAAAGGGCCAGGTGTGGTGTCACATGCTTTTAATCCCAGCACTAGGGAGGCAGAGGCAGGTGGATCCCTGTGAGTTCAAGGCCAGCCTGGTCTACATAGTTCCAGGACAGCTGGGGCTACAGGGAGACCCTGTCTC